GCAGTCCACCGCGTGGCAACCCGAGGCAGCACCACCAGGCATGGGGCAAATCAGAATCACGTTCCGCACAAGGAGGCGTGAGTAACGCCGTTGTGAAGTAAGCAGACACCTGTCGACAAGACAAGCGCCCGGCGACCTTCCAACATCAAGACGGGGAAAGTCAAGGACAGGCTTCAGAATGTTCCAGACAGAGATGAAGGACATGAGACAATGGGCTCCAGCGTGTGGTCCTGACCAGGCCTCAGGTGACATGTGAACAAGCTGGGTGTGAGGGGTCCACCCTGTATGTGTCCCCCCTCTGCTGGGGGGAGGCGTCCTTCCTGGCAGGAAGCCAAGCGCTCCAGGTGGCAGACGCAACGCTGGGCACAAAGTCCAGTTCTCCGCACCGTCCTTTCCACTCTTCTCTAAGCTTGAGAAAGAAAAATGGGCGGAAAGACGAGCGGGGGCTCACATTTCACAACAGATCGAAACACTGAGAGGCTCCAGCAGAAGTCAAGAGGCCGAGGGTGCTAAGTGTTGGGACGCCGTGGACCCCGTGGCTGGGCTCTGAGCGCTGCAGCCACGTGACAGACGGTCACGCTCCGCGGCAAGGACTGCACCCAACTCGCTCCTGAGATACCATGGGGTGTGGCAGTGTCACCCCCGAGACCAAAGGCTGGGGACAGTCTGTCTCTGTGGGCCGAGCTGTGCGGCAAGCCTAACGCAGGCACCCCAGGCTGCAGAGACAGATGTGGCGGGGTGGGAATGAGCCCCCACAGGCAGGCCGACGGCCTTCAGCTCAACAGGGAAAACACCACGTGCTCCACAGTGGGCACTTGACTCGTGATCTCCCGTGAGCCTCGGGTCCTGCTTTCTATAGAAACCAATATGAGACAGATCATGGTCTAAATACAAAAGAAAAACCATAAGCTGCTAGAAGAAAAAGTGAGAGAACAGCTTCTCCTCTGGGGAAAAAGGAAAAAAAATAACTATAAAACAAAAAAATACATTGGGAGTTCAACAAAATTTAGAACTTCAGTTCATCGAAAGCCATCACTACATGTGAAGGTGAGTCACAGATGGGAGAGGACATTCACGGACTGACAGCGGACCCGCAGCCCAAACACAGAACCTCCATGGCTCACTGACACAAGACGAACAGCCCGATTAAAGAAAAACAGGCAAAAGACTTGAACAGACACATCACAAAAGAAACGAACGGCCATTAAACCCGTGAGAAGCGCTCGACAGCACCAGGCCCCAGAGAAACGCAAACCAAAGCTGCAACGAGACACACTCCACACCTGCGGGATGGTTAAGACGGGGACCAAAGCGTCCGCATCGGCGAGGTGGCCCCCCCCACCGCTGCGTGCTGAGCAACCTCAGGGTTCGGCAGGTTCATTTTCAGCGAGGCACACCTTTCCCCTGTGACCAGTCAACTCCACCCCTCGGTGTCTCCCGAAGAGAAATGGAAATACACATCCACAAAAAGACGGGCGTAAGAGTGTCAGTAAAATAACCTGGACAGGAAACGGCCCCAGCGTCAGTAACCCTAACCCTAACCGCGGGGAAAGAGGCTGCGGCCAAGGGTGTCCTGTGCGGCTCCCCCTGCGGATCTGGGTCCCGCAGAAGCACAGCGGACGTTCTGAGGGACGGAAATGCTCTGTGTCTCAGCAGGGGCGTTAGGTGTGCGGGTGGACGCAGCTGTCAAAACTCATCAAATTTTCACTTTGTGTGTAATTTTCACACTGAAATCTTGCATTTCACTGTATATAAAGTTAACTCCATTTAGAAAAAACTGATCTATAAAGATATATAATATGGATGGATCTTAATAACACACGTTTTAAAATATTACATGACCTGATACTCTTTGCATAAAGATAAAAACACTGAAGTTTTTAGGTGATGTTTTCAGCTCTGTGCAAATACCAGAGTTTAGGATTAGGACACAGTGTGTGGCAGGTGGCAGGGATGCAGGGGACGGTCAGCGGGCCGGCTGGCTCCAGTCCTGGATGGCAGGTTCATGGGCACGAACACCACACCTCCGTCAAGACTACAGGTACAGACCAAACAGAGGCTGTGGGACGCATGAGCAAGCGTCCTGAACCGAGGCTCGTGACCAACTCAGCTCTCTGCTCCCGAGACCCTGAGGTCTACGTTTGAAAAGAAGATGAAGACATCAGGCTAGGGGCTGGGATAGTGACAATACCTGAGTCACTATATTCAGGACTTAGGGACACCCGTGCAGTCCCTAGAAGAGAAGGTATCTTAACCTTCACGGGAGAAAGTAAACGGAAAGGCTGAAAAGGAATGAGCGAGCATAGAAATGGACCAAACCCAGAGAGATCAGAAACTTAACAAAACAAAGGTGCACGGCAGCGGTCAGACCAGGGCGCAGCCACAGCTGAGGGCAGCACAGGGTGGGGCCTGTCTCTGTCCTTTCCTGAGGACGCCAACCACCTCCTGGAAGACGGGGCATCCTCCAGGGGGGTCCCCTTGGCCCTCCCCGCGTGGGCCATGGGCCCAGGCTCCCTCCCGGTGGTCCCCTGCAGCCCGTTAGGTGCTGTGGCCGTCAGGACAGACAGCTCTGTGGTGGCTAATGGAGCTCCTGATGCAGACACCGGACGGCCAGGGTCCTAAGGGAAGTGGCTGCAGGCAGAGGTTCTCCACTATGGTGGCGATACCCCTTGGAAGGGTCGCCCTCAGGAAAGCAGGGACGGACGAAGCCCCGTTCTAAGCCCTCCTTTCCACACACGCCGTATCTGCTCACCTCAAGGGCCCGGAACTCAAGTCCCTGTCAGGGCACACACGGTAAGGGCCGCCTCCTTCAAAGGCCAGACTTCTGTTTGCTTATCTTCCTCCACCCTATGGCCTGGAGCCACCGGGTCCTAATGAACCAGATGTGCGCCCATCTGTGCGCCTGGCCCTCTCACAGGCAGCTGCGCCCATCAGCCACCAGGAAGGCGGACGGACGGTGCCACCCCTGCCCTGGTGCGTACAGCTAGGCAGTCATGCCAATCCCAGGCAAAACTCACCAAAATTCACCTCACGAATTTATTTTAAGTAAACTGCAAGAACAGGTCACATTTCTCGAGTCGGGGCAAGTTTTCCTTGGTCAGATTTTGGCGACACCGTGTTTCTCCCACGCCCAGAACGGAGACATGGTCATGCCCAGTGGGCAGCAGGGCTCTCGCGGCTCTGACCCCCAGCGCACCCCCGTCCCCACGGTTTCCAGGACTAACCAGGCGTCTGACCTGCTCCTTCTCTTCCTGCCCACCACTGAAGGACCCGGTTGTCCATGCTGCCCTCCGCCGGCTTCATCAGGAGCCTTCCTGGTCTGCGGTTCTTGCCATTCTGAACTGGCTCTGCTGGGTCCAACTTGGCCTTCCTCCGTTTTCTTTCCTGGCCTCCAGCAAACACAGAGAAAGCCCTGGAGGGTACCAGACAGGAGAAGGTGTCTTCAGCCCTCCTCTCTCCTTCGCCTGCGTCCTGCTGGTGGAGCTTCCTGAGTACGGTGTTCCAGAAAGAACAGCCTCAAAGGAGAAGCAGAAAATCACCTCCTGCCTTCACCCAAAGGCTGTGAGAAGCACACTTTGCTGTCTTTGGTGGAAAACTGTCTTTGTTTAGGAAAGTGCTGGATGGACCATCTGAGAGTGAGAACAGGCCCCAGCTGGGTCTGCAAGGAGATGAGGGAACGAGAGGGAGTTTTGTCTAAGAAATGAGGCAGAAGAAGAAACAGGAGCTGCTGAAGCAGCAGGACGGAGAGACACGGTCGCCCCAGTGTCTGTCTCCAAGACCAGGGCTGCCTGAGAAGCAATTTTTCGCTGCCTGCTCGCACAGAAACACAATCTCCCCAAACCTGCCCGTGGACCCAGACCCCACACAGAAGTTCCTGCACCCATACGCGATAACAAGCAGGTTCGTAGGAGAATCAATTCAGCAAAAACTCTGAACCACGGCTGACCTCGCGAAGGCCGAGAGCAGCCACCCAAAGTGCCCAGAGTTGTGGCGCCTTGCAGCCCAGACCCAGACGGGCCCGAGGGAGACTGCGCACGCGCAGACGTGCCTACATTCCGTTTTAAAGTGAGTGAAGAGAAACCCACGGCTGAGCACACACTCTCTATGCAGTCATGCCTTTTCCACCTGTGCCAACCCTCTGCCACGGGACTGAAGATGCTTCAGAAACGCCGCGGTGATCCCACATCCTGACGGGACACACGTCGTTTCCAGAGTTTCTGTGAGCCCTACAGGTGACGTCGAGGAGCTGAGGGCATGAGCATTTAATAAGCTTGTTTTTTTTTTTAAAGATTTTATTTATTTATTTGACAGGTCACAAGTAGGCGGCGGGCAGGCTCCCCGCCCAGCAGAGAGCCTGACGCGGGCCCGATCCCAGCACCCGGGGACCATGACCCGAGCTGAAGGCAGAGGCTTAACCCACTGAGCCACCCAGGCGCCCGCATTTCATACGTTCTCGATACTAAATGCATAATGATACCGCCAACACCCCCAATTCCCACCCTGCAACTACGGAGTAACTGCACTTTCGAAAACCCTGTGAGCACAGATTTTTAAAAACTTGGGTTTTCTTACTAACATACCTTATGTTTCCTTGGTCACAAGTGACTGAAAGATATGTTAAAACCCACCAGCAGTCAGCTGTCCTGGGCCCCCCACTCCTGTCCCTCCGTCCTTCCCGACAGACCCACCACTGACCCTTCTCTGGGCTTTCTCATCGCTCGCCTGCACTATTTCCTCTAAAGCTGTTCATCCTCTAAGTGTCTAAGTGATTCTGCTGTGCAATTCTGCATTTTCATAGAATCCTAGTTACTAAAAATGAACTCATTAAGTGCTATGGCAATTTGACAGCAAGAGCCCAGGAACTTTAAAGTCTGATCATTAAATATCAGAACCATGATTTTCAGGAACTAAAATGTCAGGTCATTTATCTATTCAACCACTACACACACACACACACACACACACACACACACACCCCAAAAAAACAAAGAGTTACTTACCGAATCCAAAAAGCAAAGGTAAGATCCTGAGCTCTGTGCTATGGCTTGATTTTTAGAATATCCAACTGTTTGAAAAAAGGAAGAGAAAAGTTCTTTTATAATTCGATTTTCAGTGGCTTTCTCTTCCCCAGGATCTAGGGTAATGGCACCACAAGGGAGCAAAGAAAGCAGTACATGACCAGGTGAGAAGAGGTCAGCTTTAGACGGAATGAACGCAAAGCCAACAGAAAACACTGCTCTGTCTTTAGGGGCTGGGACACCGAGAGCCCCTGGGACCAGCGTACAGATCAGGGACTGTTCCCTGGAGAAGAACAGAGTCTGCAACCATTTACCGAGTATAACACGAAGCTAAGCCGCGGGGAACATTCAGGAAGAAAAAACGCGAAGCGTCCCTGGTGGAAGTGCCGGAGCAGATGCTGGTGGGAATGCTGACGAGAGTCAAGACACGGTGACCGGGGGAGGGGAACCTGTGTGTGTGACCGGTTGGTACAAGCTCGCTGACCTGGACACCGCGAGCAGTTATCGGAACGCATCTCCCAGGGGCAGCTGCGGTCAGTGCAGCGCTCACCACGTGTGAACACACACACACTGGGACCCCGCGGCTCCCTTGCTAGGAGCAGGTCCCCCGAACACCCCTGCACGCTCCCCAAGCCATGACGGCCCCTGACGTAGGATGGGAAAGCTGAGGATATACTGTGATGAGGGTGAGCAGTCCCGGTTTGCACACGCATGTGGATGATGCCCACACAGCGTTCAAGGTCACATGGCAGCCAGCTCACCTGGTATCAGGTGGTTCCCTCAGGATGTGGGCAGGGCTGGAAGGGACACGGTCGGCTTTTCATCACGGCGCTGGGGACGCGCTCCGTTCGAGAAGATTAACCGAACCGGCATTTATGATCAGTGCTTTTCTGGATGTGTGTTATGTTTCAAGAACACTTTGCCTTCAGAGAGATTACAACTGAGTTGAAAAAAGTTAAGTGACGACCTCTGGCAATCTCTCCTTCTTGGAGAGAAGAGAGTAGCCTGCGTTGTGTTTTCACTTCAGTGCCAAACAAAAGGTGCCAGGAGAAGTATCAGGAGGCTTATGACGACAAGGGGGCGAGAGGGGGTCTGGGGCTGCTCGAGCCTGAGAGAGAGCAGAGGCCCAGTGGTGTGGGGAGCAGCAGGCCGTGGTGGGTAGGGGGGCAGGCCAGCCCCATCCGCTACCTGGTGAGGAGCGGCCGTGGGAATTCACGCCAAGCCAGCTGTGGCCAGAGGCCGGTTCCAGGCGGTACTCAGAGGGGCTGAGGGGACGGCAGGAGCACGAGGTACATCCCCCCAACACCTGCACTGAGTTAACCAGCCAGTCACGGACATGGGGCCACGGAGAAAAGCCACACAAAGTAAAACAGATGTGCGCAGACATCAAACAAGAAATCCCCCTCGCACACCAGCTGGGGGGCCCGAAGCACGTCTCACTGGTGCTGCCGCCTTAGGCTGCACCGGAGCACGCCTGTTTTTCACGCCGAGGACATGCCCGTCTGCGGCTCCAGTCGGCGGCTTGGAGCCAACTCCAGCACCACTGCCAGGCCCGCTGGGCCAGAGAAGCCATGCTCAGGTGGCCCAGGCTGTGACCCAGGCCAGTGCCCTTGTCCAGGCTGTTTTCCCACCAGGTAGCAGCATTAACCCTAGCGCTCAGCCCACCCGAATCAGCGAGCACGGTGGCCCCAGGCCCCCCAGAAGCACAGATGTAACAGGCAGGGGCAGGGCCCAGAGATGGACTGAAGCACTGTCCCCACCGCTAGGCACGGCAGGCCCGGGCGAAGGTCTCACAGGCTCCAAACCGAAGACACATGAAGATGAAATGGGAAGAGACGGCCCATGGTCACATTTAAATGACCAGGAGTTCTGTTTCAAGAGCTGCTCCGTGCGGTCCGATTTCAGAAGGGGAAAAATTGAACCAGAATTTGGATAATGAAGGAAAACGTGTCTCACGAAGGAAGCTGGAATTTCCTCACAATGAGCCTATGTTTGGCAAGGACAAGGAATTTGCTTTAATATTACTGCCTTGAAGAAAGTCAGAGGTTTGTGCCAGGGCCTGACGTCCAGGGAGGCTGTCCCTTTGTGACGGAGCTGGTTGTCATGGTCGCAGCAAGAAAAACTCACGCTTGGAGAGAAGAGGGCGGCCTGCGCTGTTTTCACTCCAGCAAGCGGCCGCATTTGAAAGAAATGCTTTGCTCTGTTATGACGTGAGATAATAAGAAATGAATCTTAATCCAATTTAAATAACTCAGCACTCCTGAGAGAGGAAACGTGTGGATTTATGTATCTAAGAGTTCACATGACTTTTTCTACTTCAGAAAATATCATTTCAGGAAAACACACTCTTTCGGATGTCATTGAGTTCACTCCGTTCTGTGACTGTGGCACAAGGCCCCCTTCGAAACAACAGGGTGACGGCCTCATTCCTTCACGCGACAACTGATTTTCTTGTCATTGACAACACACGTGTGAACGTGATAGGACTCAAGTTATATCTAATCTATAAAAAATATTTTACGAGAAACAAAACTTGTGTTTAAAGTGCAGATTAATCAACCAAAGACACACCGTCACCAAAATGCCCTCGACTTCCTTTATGAACTACAGGAGATACAAAACATCTTAAAATTAAAGAATATTTTGGGGCGCCTGGGTGGCTCAGTGGGTTAAAGCCTCTGCCTTCGGCTCGGGTCATGATCCCAGGGTCCTGGGATCGAGCCCCTCATCGGGCTCTCTGCTCGGTGGGGAGCCTGCTTCCTCCTCTCTCTCTGCCTGACTCTCTGCCTACTTGTGATCTCTGTCAAATAAATAAATAAAACCTTTAAAAAAATTAAAGAATATTTTAAAATGACCTTCAAACCAGCTTCAGAAACCACAATTTGTTTACACATCTCAGAAGCAAGTTGAAATAGATGTTCAACAATAACTGATTTCTTTCAAGTTTTCTATTTCAAACAATGAAAACAAGAAATAATTTGGGAAAAAGCAGAACATGAGACCACGGGGAAGATCAGGATGCCCAGAGTGGGGCAGCTACCCAGCAGCTCCAGTGCTACGTCTTCTCAGCACTGGGCACAGGCACCTGCTGCCCACAAAGGAAACTGAGGCACAGGGAGGTGGAGGGTGGGGCCCGCCGCAGCTTGGCCCCCTGCCGCCCAGTCCTCTGCCCTGGGAGGCAAGGCCACTGAGAGGCAATGCCAAAGAGTGTGGTCTTTTAATATAAACTTAGAAAAAGCTTTCTTTTAAATGACCAATTTTAACAACTATTTCTGGTTTTAAATTTTTTCTAAAATGTGTTTACACTTTCCTGCTCTCCTAAGTAGGACACAGGGTACTGTTTGTGAGGGATGTGATGTGGGGTCAGGGGCACGCTCTGGGAGAGAAGCGTCTGCTTCATCCTGTGAGCTCAGCCACTTAACTCACCGCCACCAGCGTCCACCTTCTCCTCCGCCCAGGGACATGGAGACAGAGACTGAGTGCTGGTGGGAAGTGGCGGAAGGTGAAGGCACGGGCGCCGGGAGGACGGGCGCCGGGAGGATAGGCACCTGAGCCGCCCTCATGGGGCAGCACGCTGCTCTGTGGAGAGCCCATGTGCAGGGAGAGCCAGTGTACGGGGAGGTTAGCCCTGTCTGAGCGCGGGCCCCAAGAGCTCAGGAGGAGACAACTGGGCTCAGATGCCCTCTGTGTACTCTGAGTAAACCAGCGAGTCCCCACAGGGCCAGGCGCAAACTCTGTGAGGTCATGCTTAGGGCATCCTCGTGAGAATCAGAAGTGAGGCCAGCGGATCCACCTGACCATCAAAACCAGACAAGAGCAGAGAGTGGAAACAGGATGAAGGGACTTTGAGGGCAAGAAGCATCTGGGAAAAGTGGACGTCTCTTCTGTCTCACACGTCCCTGGAGAACCTTGCCGAAGCATAAATTATACGCCCACCAAAGAGGAAAGCCAACACCAGTCTGAACAGGACTCGAGCAGAGCCCATACAGCCCTGGAGAGAGCAGGGGACCCCAAAGGGTCCCAAATCTGCAGCCTGCCCACCCTGAAGTATGAGGAGAGCTACAAGACTCCCTGAGGACCCAGCCCATGAAGGAGGGGGGCTGATGCTGCAGCTCTCCTGAGCTTCTTTCAAAGCTCTGCTTCTCAACCGTGGATACGCCCAGCATTTCTCGGGAAGCATCCCCCACCCCAGGGAACAGGCTGCTCCTGGACCGACTACTCAAGCACATCTGGGCTAGGACTTGGGGTCAGGCATCAGGGCTCCCAAAGCTGCACAGGCACTTCTGACAAGCAACCAAAGTTGAGGCCGACCCTTTAAAGGAGGACAGACTCCTCTCACCTGTAGGGGCCTATCCACCAGCTCCAGCGTCATCATCTGGCCTCCCTCCTCCTTCAACCCAGCAGCGAACGTAGGCATGCTAATTTCAAGTCTTACACAAAAACTCTGAAGTGAACCTAAAGGAAGCCCAATATATTATAGCCGAAGCTAAGAGTACAAAGTTAATCATTCAGTATAAAAACTGAGGGTGCGTGAAAACCGACTACGACTTGACGCAGCATTATCAAATTTCAAAACCCAAAACATAAAGAGAAAAACCTTAAACACTTCCAGAAAGGAAACCTTTAAAGGGACTGAAAGAAGATTTCTTATCAAAACCAGAGGACACCAGAAGATAATGAGGCAAGCCTTCAAAATTCTAAGGGAAATGATTCTGAACCTAGAATTCTGTATCTAGCCAAACTGTCAACTGAGCCTAAATACAAAATGAAGACCTTTCAGACACGTAAAAACCCCAAATATAATTACCATCTACATACCAGATATGGAAAACATACTTTAAGGAGGACTCCAGCAACACAAAAAAGGAACATACAAAATGGAAAATAAATAAAAGAAAAAGAGAAGGGGAAAAACCCAAACAACGGCAGGTGTGTAGAAAGTGAAAGAGTAACGCAGGAGGTCTTTCAAGGCCGCACAGATCCTGACCCTTGGGACGCCCCAGGCACAGCACAGAGCTGGCAGGAGACGGTGGCAGTTCCTGGAGCC